ATTTAGAGACGCAACAATAGAGCCTAATTTTAGTTGCCAATTATTCAAATTTAAATAAGGTTTGGTTACAAATTTATACAATAGCTAGTGAGTTATTACAGGTGGGTACATCTCTTTTAAACTTTGGATACATGTGCGCACATCTCTTTTAAACTTTGGTGGTGGCAGGTATGTTCGATTGAGAAGTCGGATGTGGCAGAAGACTGTATACAGCTGTCTACGTACATTCTTTGGTGGCAATGGCGGTCTCGGAACATATGGATGTTTGAGAAAGTTTGGATGCCGGAGGAAGTGGTGGTGCAAGGGGCGTGGCGAGATTGGCAGGAGTTTGCATCATTGTAGGAGTAGTCGGAGTTGGTTGTCTTTGCCTTTGCTTCTTTTTTGTGTCTAGTAGGTGTTCATTTTATCAATTGGTTTTTGTGTCCAGGCAGGTTAAGGTAGCGGATAAAGCTTCCGGTGGTTGCATCCTGTTCGCAAAATATTTTCACTATCCGCAAGTGTACGGTATAGCTGTAGTGAGTGGCGAGCAAGGTCGTATTCCACAGAGATTGTTGTCAAAATTAACCAAGTATCAAAATGTAAACGATTAAATATTATTTAGTCTAATGCAAATTTGAATGGTGATTTTATTCTAAACTAATGAATGATTGCAAAATAAATTCTACACTAACGAAGGCTTGTTCTAAGATAACTCAAGAATGAGAAAATAGATTCTAGGCTATGCTTTCCTCGGGATTATTCTAACAAAGATTAATTATTCATTCAAACCTTATTTAATTCTACCATTCGTATGGATAATCACTAAAGTAATTTACACCTTTCTCTCGAACAAGTTAAATCGTAGATATTAATTGTTATCTATCACCTCTCGGTCTCAAGATGAACAATCAACTCCCATAAGCTCCTAAGATTCTAGTTCCCTCGCAAGATTCTATCAACCTCTCGGTCTGTTTAGTCTCTTACGTTATGAATTTCCCAATTCTAGCAATCAACTATCTCCTCTCGGTCTCAAGTCAATCACAAATATGCATAAATACGGGCCCTTATATTCACACAATAATAATAAGCACAAGAAATTGATAAACGAACGATAAACCGGAATGAATAAACAAAATCACTTCATAAAATAATCCGAGTACTCGCAAATCCTAGAATCCCTAAAAGGTTTAGCCACTAAACATATTCTCAAAACTCAAAATAAATATATTCATGAGTTCAATGAAGAAGAAAACGAGAAAAGAAAGAAGAACTATTGTCGCCGTTAGTTCTCGGATCTTCAATCTTGACTTCCTCGAATCCCTCGTGTGTTTCGTGCTTTCTCTAGGCCTCCAATTGTGTCCAAAAGTCCCAAAAACGAGTTCCTAAGGCCTCTTTTATACTGTAGGGTCATTCAGGGTCGAAAAAGGAAAGAAAACGCGTAAGAATCCTAATCCCCGCAGGTTTGGTCTGCCGTCACACGAGTCGTGTGACATGCCACACGAGTCGTGTGACATGCCACACGAGTCGTGTGACTTTTCTCCAATTTTCGACAAACTCCCAGGCTCACACGAGCACTCACACGATCGGGTCACACGAGTCGTGTGAGGCCACACGACTCGTGTCCCTACCCACACGACTCGTGTGAAAATGCCGTAGCTGCGTCTCTTCTTTCTTCAACCCACACGACCCGTGTCACTACCCACACGAGTCGTGTGACCTCTTCTGCACCCGTTTTCGCCGTTTTTCGTCCCGATTCCATCTCCAATGCATTTCCGGGCATATTTCCTGCAAAAACAACGACAAAAACACCTCTATCATAGTTTAATAAATAAAACGAAATGGTGCACAATCACACGATAATCATGGCCAAATATCACTATATATCACTCATAATGCATGAAAATATGATGAATATCAACTCCCCCAAACTGAAACCCTTGTTCGTCCCCGAACAAGAATAAGAAGATCAGAACTCAAGCATAATGAGTGATATCAAACTAGAACAGCTTCAAGTTATTCAATGCAACCAAGAAAAATTCAAAAGATCATAATTATCATGCTTTGACTATTAACTTGTATCCACCTTGAATCAACGAACTCTCAAATAGGAATATATAAGTGCCTCACTCACATGTCATCATTATATAAAAGAGAAGGACACGCTCAAGTCACATTGAACACCCAGTTAACTATATGTTTGCCAATCATCTAAAACTCTACTTCAAACACAATCAATAATCATGAGCTTTAAATCAAAAGGTCTTTCCAGGTTGTAATGTAGGCTATTTGGTCAAGGGTAAGATATATATAGGTTAAGTGGCTCAAATAAACAATCATACTATTCGAGTAAATAGACTACTCGACATACTCCACTCTTCCTCTCTAATCAACATGAAGTTTCTCAATCCCAACCCAAAACAATCCATACACAACTCATAAATGCTCAAATCAAATTACAAAGAAAATACCTGACCATGTTTTTTTCTTTTTTTTTTCTTCTTTTTATATATATATATATATTTTTTTTTTTTAGAGAGTTCCATTTTTTCCAAACAAAATCAAACTGCATGGACAACATTCTCTAGGTATAAACATTGGAGGTCATCCAAGTGTCCTAGAGTGGTTTCCCATTACTCATTACACGTCAAAATAAATCAACTAGTAAGAGGAGTAGAATCCCAACAGTTCGACTTGCGAGCTCTCTTTATTATTTTTTTTCTTTTTTTCTTTTTCTTTTTTCGGTCAAACACAGTAAATGCAACTCAATCGCACCTCATTCCACACCCAATCATCCAATAAATAACTCCGTTATCCCCATACATCCCAAATATCAGTCAACTCTCAAAATAAATAAGATAAACCGGTTGACAAGAAAAAGGCTTAAGGCTCAAACGGGCTACAAGTGGAAAATATTTTTAAGGACAAAGAACAAGGCCAAACGAGCTAAATTCAAGAACCGCCTAAATCATTTTTTAAAGCTCAAAATCATCAATGTATTTTTTCAAGTGTAGAATCAAGGCAAATTCTAATAACTTAGGTATTCAATTGACACACACAGACAAGGAATAAAGGCTCAAATCTCACTAGGCTCAATATATCGCTAATTCAAGGCTTCACAAGCATTTTCATCTAGGTATGACTTTTACAATCCCAATCACAAATTCTTAGCCACATCAAATCACAATTCACCATTCAAGTTATACATATCATCATCAAATCGAAAGCCCAAAATACACAAGAGACCAACTCATAATAAATCCTACTCCTAAAAAGCATGTAAACGTGCTCAATAAAAACATAAAAAAATAAAAATAAACTAATGCAACCTACATGAAATGCAAGATAGATGGGATAAGAACCTAAGATATGCCGCACCCCTCCCCCAAACTTATTCTTTCGAGAAAGAACAAATTTGAAGAAAAAGTGGTATATCTTAGGGGACTAACTTCCTGAAAATCACGGCGGAGGAGGGGGAAAATTCCCCTCATGTCTCTGCATCCAATCGAACAGCTGCTGGAAACCGCTGTTCATCCGCTCCTCCAGCCGGGTCGCAGACGCACGGTTCTCATCCCGCATGCCCCGCACGTCTGTCCTAAGCTCTCGCATCTCGCGCTCGAGCATCTCCATCCTCTCGTCCATGCTCGGCTCTCGACGCCGACGTCTCTGCCTCTGCTGCTGCTGCTGCTCAGCTGCCCGTGAGGACTCCGGTTTATCCTCTTCTATCGGCTGCTCGGGCACTTCGCCGTCACCCTCGTACATCACTAGGGTCCCCTCATCTTCGCCCTCGAAGGCGGCCATCTCATCCTCCTCCTCGGTCTGGGCTGCTCGGTCATAGATAGTCGGTCGCGGGGCGAGCTTCCGGAGGGACCCCACAGGTCGTCTCTCTGCCACAACCCGCCGATGCTCGGCGGTGTCCATCTGCCAATTCTCCGGGCGGTGGACTCCAGTCAACTGTGGGAAAGGTAATGGGAAGTTGTCGTCCTCCTTCTGTAAGAAGAACATGTTGTCGCTCATGTCCGTCTTCAAATAGCCCATATTCACTAGGGCCGACAAGTTCAGCACGTCCGGTCCCGGGACCTGCTCCCAATCAGTGTGGTCAATCCGAAGGTGGTCGGCAATCATCGTCACAAGTCCACCACACCGGATGACATCCGTATCCGCCCGGCTCAGGCGGAGCAGATGCTCGCCTACCAAACGTCCGATCCCAGGCTTCTTCCCCGTCATCAAACACCAAAGTATAAATACCTCGGCCTTCGTGATATTGCCGCTCTCCCGACGTGCGAACACCGTACTCGCCAATACCCGGTGCATGTAGCGGAGCACCGGGTTGCGTATGTCTGCGGCCTTCACCGCCCCGCGCGCGAAATCGAGAGCACCAAGTCCGGAAGTCCGAGTAATGGACCGCCAAAAATCAGTCACGTCGTAGTGCTCGGAATCCACGTACGCAGTCCCTCCACTAAAGCATCTCGCGAGACCCTCCTCGTCTATGCTCCACTGCCGGTTGTCCAACTGAAAGGTGAGCTTGTCGAACTGAACCAACATGGGCTTCTTCGTCTTGTTCAAGGTGCTGAAGAACTCGAGCACCATTCTCTTGTACGTCGCCGGACGAGTCTCAAAGGCCCTCGCTAGACCGAGTCGGTCCATGAGAGGCACCACCGCCTCACGTATTCCGAGCACTCGCTCGGTGGCTGCGTCCGGGTAACGAGTGGGCTTAATAGC